AAACAACCATCAGAGATTACTACAACTTTATGCACATAAACCAGTAAATCTAGAAGAAATGGATAGATTCCTGGACACTTACACTCTCCCAGGACTAAACCAGAAAAAAGTTGAATCTCTGAATAGACCAATAACAAGGGCTGAAGTTGAGGCAGGAATCAATAGCCTACCAACCAAAAAAAGTCCAGGTCCAGACAGGTTCACAGCCGAAGTCTACCAGATGTACAAAGAAGAGCTGGTAACACTACTTTTGAAACTATTCCAAACAATACAAAAAGAGGGAATCCTCCCAAATCATTTTATGAGACCAACATCATCCTGATACCAAAATCTGGCAGAGACACAACTGCAAAAGAAAGTTTCAGGCCAGTATCCATGACGAACATTGATGCAAAAATCTTCAATAAATTTCTGGTAAACCAAATGCAACAGCACATCAAAACACTTATCCATCACAATCAAGTAGGCTTCATCCTGGGGATGCAAGGCTAGTTCAACATACACAAATCTATAAACGTAATCCATTGCATAAGCACAATAAAAGACAAAAACCACATGATTATCTCAACAGATGCAGAGAAGGCCTTCGACAAAATACAACAGTCCTTTATGCTAAAAACTCTCAATAAACCAGGTATTGATGAAATGTATCTCATAACAGTAAAAGCTATTTACAACAAACCCACAGCCAATATCATATTGGATGAACAAAAATTGGAAGCATTCCCTCAGAAAACTGGTACTAGACAAGGGTGCCCTCTCGCATCACTCCTATTCAACACAGTATTGGAATTTCTAGCCAGAGCAATCAGGCAAGAAAAAGAAATAAAGGGTTTTCAATTATGAAAAAAGGAAGTCAAATTGCCTCTATTTGCAGATAACATGATTGTATATTTAGAAGACCCCATCGTCTCAGCTTAAAATCTCCTTAAGATGATAAGCAACTTCAGAAAATCTCAGGATACAAAAATCAATGAGCAGAAATCACAAACGTTCCTTTAGACCAATAACAAACAGAGAGTCAAATCATGAGCAAACTCCCATTCACAACTGCTACAAAAAGAATAAAATACCTAGGAATACAACTAACAAAGGATGTGAAGGATTTCTCCAAGGAGAACTACAAACCACTGCTCAAGGAAATAAGAGAGGACACAAACAGATGGAAAAACATTCCATGCTCATGGTTAGGAAGTATCAATATTGTGAAAATGGTCATACTGCTCAATGTAATTTATAGATTCAATGCTATGACATCAAGCTACCATTGACTTTCTTCACAGAACTGGAAAAAATCTTAAACTTCATATGGAACCAAAAGAAAGCCCACATTGCTAAGACAATCCTAAGCAAAAGGAACAAAGCTGGAGGCATCACACTACCTTACATCAAACTATACTATTAGGCTACAGTAATCAAAATAGCATGGTACTGGTACCAAAACAGAGATATAAATCAGTGGAACAGAATAGAAGCCTTGGAAGTAATGCCACACACCTACAACCATCTGATCTTTGACAAACCTGACAGAAACAAGCAATGGAGAGAAGATTTCTTGTTTAATAAATGGTGTTGGGAAAACTGGCTAGTCATGGGCAGAAAGGAGAAACTGGATCACTTCCTTACATCTTATACAAAATGTAACTCCAAATGGATTAAAGATTGAAACATAAGATGTAATATCATAAAAACTCTAGAAGGAAACTTAGGCAATACCATTCAGGAAATAGGCATGGGCAAGGACTTCATGACTAAAACACCAAAAGCAATGACAATGAAAGCCAAAATAGACAAATGAGATCTAATTAAACTTAACAGCTTCTGCACTGCAAAAGAAACAATCATTAGAGTGAACTGGCAACCAACAGAATGGAAAAAAACTTTTGCAAGCTACCCATTTGAGAAAGGGCTAAAATTCAGAATCTACAAAGAACTAAAACAAATATACAAGAAAAAAACAAACGACCCCATCAAAAAGTGGGCAAAGGGTATAAACAGACTTTTAAAAAGAAGACATTTATGTGACCAACAAACATGAAAAAATGCTCATCATCACCGGTCATTAGAAAAATGCAAACAGATGGAAACACATTGAGACACCATCTCATGCCAATTAGAATGGCGATCATTAAAAAATGTGGAGACAACAGATGCTGGAGAGGATGAAGAGAAATAGGAATGCTTATTGGTGGGAGTGTAAATTAGTTCAACATTGTGGAAGACAGTGTGGTAATTTGTCAAGGATCTAGAAATACAAATATCATTTGACCCTGGAATCCCATTACTGAGTATATACCCAAAGGATTTTAAATCGTTCTATTATAAAGACACATACACATGTATGTTCATTGGGGCACTGTTTACAACAGGAAAGAGTTGGAACCAACCCAAATGCCCATCAATGATAGACTGGATAAAGAAAATGTGGCACCTATACACTATGGAATACTATGCAGCCATAAAAATACCTGGGGTGTGTTGGTGGGTGGTGGGTTAGGGGAGGGATAGCAGGGGGTGGGGAGATTGGGGAGGGATAACATTAGGAGAAATACCTAATGTAGGTGATGGGAGGATGGCGGCAGCAAACCACCATGGCATGCGTACACCTATGTAACAATCCTGCAAGATCTGCACATGTACCTCAGAACTTAAAGTAAAATTAAAAAAAAAAAAATGCATTGAATGTCTGCTGTGAGGCATACTTCAAATTATTTTAATTCTATAAATGATTACCCTAAGATTAATTATCTGTATAAAGTATCTAAATTGGAACACTATAGGAGAAGAACAAAGCCATAAGGTAATAGTAATTCTAGTGGGCTCTAGCAGCTGAAATAAAATCACATAAAGCAGATTTGGATGGTTATCACCCACATAAAATCCCTTAAGTGACTTCTCCCCCTCACCCTTTCTTTAAGCAACTTCCTCACACCATGTGGCCTAGGTGTCCTAGACATGTTAAGATATCCTAAGAGAATTGAAGAGTAAAACATATTTACAAATGACAAATCATTTGATGTTTTATTACATGAAATGAAAAACTAAAGCACAATCTGTGAAATCTAACAAGCTATGCATTGTGTAAGAATATGTCTTTTAAAAAATTTTTTTATCATTGGAACATTTATAAAAGAAATGATACAGACATAAATGCCATCCATGCAATCAGTTTAAGAAAAATTTTATAAAAATTTTCTTATTGTCTCATAAGTTTGTTAGACTTTATAAATACATACATGCTAATTAATGGCAGTAGGCTATATTGCTGTTTTCCTTCATTTTCTACTATTCTTGAACCCATAAAGTAACTACTAGGGTCTTATCTGTTCAAAGTATCTCATTGTGAAAATAAAAATCAGATCCTTATATAGTTCATTTGGTTGCAAAGTTAATTCTTTTATAAATAACCTAGTACAGGATAAATCTGTCAATCCACGGCTTTCATTAAATAATTTAAAGATTCATTTACCAATGCAAAAAACAAAGATCTTTTTAAGGAACAAAAGGTTATGTAAAGAACAAAATCAATTTTCCAATAAACATGTTAAGATCACAGTGAGGAAAGAAAAAATATTAAAATTATTTGTCAATGAAAATCTGGTATTCACTACATCTTTCTGTCAATATGAATGTCTCAGCATCAGTTTTGTTGGCTCACAAACAATATATTCATGCAATTTCACAGGATGTGGCACACAAATTAACTTTTATTTTTACCAATGAAGAAAAAACAGAAGTCTAATATATAAAAAATAAATTTGTACTAAGAAAACTCTGGTAATTCATTTTTAAAATATGTATTAATTTCTTTGTTGGAAGCACATTTTTTTCTGTAATAATATTTTCTTATTCATTTCCTAAAACTACTTTTGCTAAAAAAAATTAAACCAAATATTAGTGTTCCTTACACTTATATTGTTATTGGAATCTCAATGAATAGTTTCCTCTGCTTTACTACTGAATAATTTTATGTGTGATTCACACTGATTGCAAACACTTTTCTTTTAATTATATACCCAAATAATGTTTTCTTAAATATTGCTGAGCTGAAATATTTAAATATTATTTAGGAAGTACTACTAGGGAATGATACCTTCAATTAAGATATGAGATATACAGCCAATTTTATTTCAGGTAGAACTTATGGAAAGCCTGCTTCTACTATATGTATTGTAATATGCCATAAGCATTTGTATCTCTGCTATTCAAAATGTATCCGAGAAAAATCTAAAAATGTTATTGCCTAAGTTTCCATGATTAAGTATTGGTCACATAAAAATTCAAACTAAGGTTTTCTCACTTTCATTTTCCTGTTTTGACTTTTCCTAATAACAACAAATTTGTCAGTTAAACTGTCTCTAAGGTTGAAGACATGATTGTTGAGCTATCACAATATAGAATAATGTACCGAAATAAAGAAATTGCTTGGTAAGGCAATTCAAACTTAAAGGGCAGCAACAAACTAAAATTTCTCTTTAATTCAATTATATATTAAAAAGTAAAAACATAATGGGAAATAGTAAACATAGCAGCATGCTTTAGAAAGGCAATTGCATTTATAATCCATGGGGAGCATATAGCTGCCATCTGAGGATCTTAAGATTTCATATGGGAGGCTATCAAAGGTAACCTAGGTATCAATGTGTTTTCTATGTTCTTCTAACTTGTGTTAAACAAAACAATCTAAAGATTGAGACATTAAAATGAAATGTAAATTATTAAACCTTTTGGAAAATGTATTGTGATTTTTTTTCTGATCCTCATTTAGCCGTTAAATTATTTTTACGTACTAAAATCATCTGTAAAAACAGAAATTAGACTTATTTTGAAAATGTATTAGAGTAATTAAAATAATCATGGAAGAGTTTGATTGGTTATAATATACTTTACATAAGATTTATAAAAGCCGATACTTTTTACCAACTACATACTCTGAGTAATGTCTTGCTCTGAATAATAATAGTGAACAACAAACATAAATATTAATACATAGCTCATACCTTCAGAGACTTCAGTATCTATAGAAAGAGATGAGAAAAATATATATCAAGTATCAAGAATGGGATATTATACTGTATAAATATTTTTGACTTTATAGTTGAATAGTTCAGAAGACTGAATGATTAATTTGTCATAATTTGAAAATAAAAGAGCATACTTAAAACTACATGTAAGCTTTTTTTTAGAAAATATGGGTCAGAAACAAGAAAGAACACATGTTCTATTTGCATATCAAATGTAGTATCATTATGACTTTTACAATATTATATATATCATATAAATATATATAAAATCAAAGGGTTTATGTTTCATGTCATTTTATTTTTATTCTGCCCTATCAACTTTTAAATCTTATTTGAGAAACATTTTGTTTGGAAGTAATAACAAGTTTATTGGAAGCAAAACCGAAGATTTATATCTTCTCATACTGAAGAAAAAAGGCAATTTTTATCTAGCTCATCATCTTTATAGAATTTAGATATCCCTTCTTTCAATCCTTAAAAATATTATGAGATATATTTTTATAAATACATATTGGTCACAAGTAGTTTCTTGATGATAAACATGAGATCCTGGTATGCTCTAATATTTCTTTCGGTACTCAGTTGAAATGTTTGATTTTTTAAGATGCTCTCTAGAAAAAAATTACAGAATGCCTTTAGAATATAAATGATTAAAAGTTCTTGAAAGGAGACATGCTTATATTTACTATGTTGTTTGAACTTTCAACTTTTTTTATTAAAAATCTTTACAGCTCAAATTTTGCTAGTGCATCACTAGAAAAATAAAGATTTTAAATTTAAAAAAAAAAAGCTTTAGAGTTCAAAAACAAAAGGAAATATAAAATGACCGCCAAAGGTAACACAATGAACAAAATATAATTGTTGGCAAATTAACATAAGTGGATGAGATGACCTTGCCTGTTATAGTGGTGCTTGTGTCCATGTATTTATACCAGTAGCATTATGATATGCAAAAAATATAACAGTTTACCAGAACCATTACTGAATATATGGTGTCATAGCTTTTTATTAAATGTGTCTCTATGGTAAATGGTCAGGCAGCTTAATACATTTGTAGTCCAATCTGAATATGAAATATGGAAGACAGATCTATTCCAACTATATTTTTATAATGCATTTACTGTATATGCAAAACTCTATTAGTATTGTTTAAGTTCAATGGGTACAGAAGAAATTAATGAAACAATATAGGATTCACGTTTTAATAGTTATTTTCATAGGAAACACTAATTATATTTGAATAAAAGCAAAAATTAGAATTTTTAGCCACATATCTGAAGCTGGCACTCATAAAAGCGTTTCAGTTTTCATGAAATAATAAGAACAAGAAATGTTCTACCTGAGAGAGCCAAGATATAAGACTACCTTGGATTTGATTCTCTGCTTCATCAAAAATTTGAGGACTTCATAAATACATTTGGAATATCCCTTTCAAGTTTGTGATATTGAACAACCAGAGAATTCTTTTCCTTCAAATAATTTTCTATTCCTACTGGTGAAGAGAGCTCCCAACAGAAATTAGACGAAGACAAATGCCCTTAGAAACAAGAATAATTGAGGAGAGAAAGATCTCAGCAAGTGTGAAAATCTCGGTATCTCTAAAAAAGAAAAAAGCAATACGCTGAAAGAAATCCATTCCTTGAGAAAATGAATAAAAAATTGACATCAGAGAAACATCAAATGAATATGCTCTAGGGAACTTGCTTGGAAAAAAAAATAAAAAGAAATGAATTCAGTTGAAGAAAACATTTTGGAAAACAATAGATATGAAACTAAATAACTTATTTCACTTCTTGTTTCACTACAAAGAGTAACCTCTGATCTTCAAGTCCAAAGAATTAAATGTTTTATACATTCTGAATTGAGAGCTATTATTTCCCAGCAGGGGTTCTGTTTTCAAATGTTTCTCTTACTAAAAAAAAAAAAAAAAAAAAAGAAGATATCTATAAAATAATAGATACTACTGTAATTTGCCTACAGCTTGGCTAAACATTGAGGATGTTTGTTCTTTGTTGTATGCTGGATCTTTCTCTCATCTTTATCACTAACTTAAGGTTTTCCCTAAGAGCAGAGATTTTTTTTTTTTTATAAAACATAAAATGATAATTTTGTTTTTCCAAAATGTAAGCTTTTAACTGTGTGCTATATTTATAATTCTCTAGGATGTTGGAAAATTATCAGGATGTTTACTTAATGTTTATAAGTTTCTAGAATATTGGGAAATTGTCAGGACATTTAATATATAACATAAATTTGAAATTTGAAATGTACTATAAATTAACAGTTGATTCTATTTATTGAAAAATTTTCATCTGAAAGATTTGTATATAATTATCTTAGATAAATTATCTCACTTTTTAATTACAGTAATGTGATCATTATTCACATTTTATAGAAATGGAAGCTGAATTTAGAAATACATCTATAACAAAGTTAATACTGATATAATGACAAGTAAATAAAGTTATATATAAATGTATGTGTATATAAAAATAAAATGTTTTTAGTCACAAGAAGAAGCACAGTCTAGGAAAAACTAAAACTGCAAAAAAAAATTAAATAATTTCAAAATAAAATTTGTTCCTCTGCTCTGTGTTCTGCTTCTTCTTCTAGGACTGGCTAATAACCGTCATTGTCAGAGGCATGTGAACCAAAGCAACTCCATCTTGAATAGGGGCTGGGTAAAATGAGGCTGAGATCTACTGGACTGCATTTCCAGACAGTTAAGGCTTTCTTAGTCATAGGATGAAATAGGAGGTTGGCACAAGATACAGGTCATAAAGACCTTGCTAATAAAACTGGCTGCAGTAAATAAGCCGGCTAAAACCCATCAAAACCAAGATGGTGACCTTAGTGACCTCTGGTTGTCCTCATTGCTACACTCCCACCAGCTCCGTGAGAGTTTACGAATGCCATGGCAACATGTAGAAGTTACCCTGTATCATCTAAAAAGGGGAGACAATAATAATCCACCCTGTGATTAGCATATAATCAAATAACCATAAAAATGGGCAACCAGCAGTCCTTGGGGCAGCTCTGTCTATGGAGTAGCCATGCTTTATTCCTTTACATTCCTAATAAACTTGCTTTCACTTTACAGACTTGTCTTGAATTCTTGCATAAGACATAAGAGCCCTTGCTTGGAATCTGGAATGGGATGTCTTTTGGTAACGTCATGACTAGAGAAAGTTGTCAATGTTCTCGAAATTTTACATGGCAAATTTTAAACATAAAAGCAACTCAATACACTTCTGGCTTTACATACAAGATATTTGTTTTATTCTAGTACTGCACAGGAGTCTTGGAAAGTAGACTAAAAGCCTGGCCTAAAATTAGGCAAAATCCCCCACAGTCCCAGAGTGCTTAGTAAACAATTCCTGCCTTAAGCATGCTTCCATTCTCCTCAATGACATAGCTACAAAATTTGGAAGCCATCTGAAACATTGGGCTAAAGCGTTTGGCTGGAAACGGTAACATGCCAGTAAAATTGGCCATGCTTAAAGGGCTACAATGATAGAAAGGCAACAGGCTTCTCATTGTAACATAAGAAATATAATTTAGAACAGGTTCAGGACAACTATTAAATATCAATATCTGGATGGAAAGACATAATCAGTCCTTCCTTCTATTTACTTGACAAAATAATGGGAAACACTTCTTGTAGATCATAACATCACGAGGAGGCATCTGTCATTCTATTATACATAGTATCTGGCATACATGAAAAAATTATATGTACAAAGAGGAGAAAATATATGACCAACATGAAGAGACAAGCTAGATAATAGTTAATAGAAAATACAGATATTAGACTTATTAGCAAAGAAATTAAATACAAAATTGTTCATTGTGCTCCAGAAAATATTAAAAATGGACTTTACAGAAAAAAATGACAGAGTTTCAAAAGAGAATTGCAATCTCAAAAAATGAATCCCGAACTGAAATATAAAATATCTGAAATTATGAAAGATCAGTGAGTTCAACATTTCAGATATCCCAGAACACAGAACATTGGAACTTGAAGAGGGAGTAATAGGAAATACTCAAAGGGAAGCACAAAGAAAAAGAAAAGAGAAGAACAGAGTGAGAACCATGCAAGATGTGTTGAGAAGTTCTAGCATACATATACACGGAATTCCAGAAATAAGAGATGGCATGGGGCAAAAATAAAATGTAAAATAATAATGATTGAGAATTCTACATAACAACGGAAAGACAACAATCCACAAAAACAAGAAATCCCGCAGATAAACACAACAGAGAAACGCCAACCAAGATAAACACGTGGAGCCGTATCTATATGCAGGAAATCTAACTAGACCAAGTAAAACTGCTGACTGCCAAAGGAAAAAAAGACAAAGAAAACCTTAAAACTAGACCGAGAACTTGTTTCAACGTAGGATGTGGGAAGAAATGACACCTTGGCTCTGAGAATAACCTATCAAACATACCCCACAACGAGCCTGAGGATGCAGAGAATACTAAATAATGTAAATGTTAAGAGTAAGGAGAGAATCCAAAAGAAGGCTCATGTCTGCTTTCATCCCTGGCTGAGCAGCTCATGGAGGCGGCAGAAGTCAAAGGAGATAAGAAGGAACCAGCCAAACTCCCAATGCATTTTTAATGACCAACTGAGTCTGACATGAAGCTGTAGAATCCCAAAGATCCACAGAAGTAAAATGTGCACAACTTGCCAACTCTTGGCCTTCACTGCTTAGTCTAATGGAAGTTCGTGGCCAAACTGAGACCATAAACTGATATAAGGCTGCTGAGGCGTGGCCTGCATATCCTGCTGAGGACTAACTCAGGACTGCAAAACTAGGAGAAACCTGGAGAGAGTACCTAAGGCTGGAGCAGAAGTAGATCTGAAGGAGAGCCACACTGTGGCACAGATGGACAGGCATGAAGAGGGCTGAGGGCAGCGAGGAAATGCTAAGAAAAGCCTTCAGAGGAACTCTGGACACAGCTCTCTGAGACTGAGAAAAGCAAACAATAAAACATGCTACTAAAATAATAAAAGAAATACATTTCTCAAAAAATTATATTGCATCCAATTGATAGAAGAATAGTTTAGTGTCTATCTAGTATCTAGTAATTAAATTCAGTACTAAAAAGCTTCTAGCAAAAAAAAAAAAAATCAAAGCACTGATGACATCATTACTAAAGAAAAATAAAGCTACTGACTTCTTTTCAAGGCCATATAGTCTTAATTCAAAAACCTTATAAGCGCATTCAAGAGAGCAAAGTTTTAGACCATTCTTTCTCAGAAAGATTAAAAAGAATGCAAAATATAAACAAATGGAACCTTGATATATATGAAAAAGCCAATATATCATAGCCAAGTGGTATTTATTTTATTTTTTAAAGTTTTATTCCATTCTTGTTTAAAAATAATCAAAATAATTACTACATTTAGTAATATTGAGGCCACCATAAATTTAAGCATGTCACACGACTTGAGTAGATATGCAGAATACAAATGTTACACAAAGGACTTTGATTCTGAACACTTTTTAATATAAATATGTACAGAACAAATTTATATGATAACTTTAATATGTGTTAAGATAGAGCATTGAATTAAAAAAAGTGTATAATTAAAAATATATTTAGCAAAATATATCTCCTACACACAATAAATGAATGAATGAATGAATGAAGAAAATAAATAAATGCAACTATCACAAACATCATTCTCTAAGCTAAACTACTAGCAGTTTAAGCCTATAAATGGACACAAGGCAAGTGTAAAAATAAAAAGATACAAGAATCATTTGCAAATAAAATAATAATATACCTACCATTCCATCTGGATTAATCTGTTTTAGCAAAATCTCTGCATTCAAGGTAAATAGATAAAATCAATTTTCTTATCTGCCAGCAGAAAACAAATAGAAATAAAATGTAATAAAAAGTATTTATAACAGAATTAAGAAGACCCTGCAAACAAAAATAATTAGAACTCTACCCCTAAAATGAAATTCTGTCATTAAAAAAAAGAAAGACTAAAATAGATTGAGGAATATAATTTATTCGTGAATTGACTATTACAAACATTTCCATTTTACATAAATTCATCTATAAAATTGATCAAGCAAAATTTCATTAAGTTAACAGTTTTATTGTCATTATTATAAGTTCAATGACCCAAATATACTGAATATGATTAAAGCATAAATCTGGAGGACTTATAATACTAATTGACGTATTGTAAAGTCAGATTACTATTACAGTATAATAGTGCAATTATATATTGACCAATGGCAAAGAACAGAGTATATGAAGAAAACAATGCTATAAAGTCATATCCTGAAACACAATAAAGATAGCACATTCTTCCTAATAAATGATGCCAAGTTAGCTTGATATCCAGTACTTCTTTTCCTTAGTGATGGACTACATGAGGAAGGAATTTGAAGGGAGCAATGGTACCGTAGTCATGTAAGACACACACACACAAAAAAACAAAAACTGAACTTACCTAAAGCCTTTTTACATATTTATACAATATACTGGTTTCAAGATTTGTTCCTCTATGATAGATCATCCATACTTTATGCAGGATGACCCTTTGGAATATAATTTTTGTACAATTATTTATTCCTTGCCTGTAGACTTCTGTGGTTAGAAAAAAATCACTACATTTTAAATTTCAAATCTCATTCTTAAAGCATCGAGAGAAAAGATATCTGCTTAGGATATCTTATTTGTGTAATATAGTAAAATTTAATACAATAAAGTGTTATTCAAAAATATTACACATATCTGAGGTTCTTATACTCAAATACCTGTTTAGATGTTTCACTTTCATAATGTGTGCAAGAATTGTTACATGTGATTTTACTAATTTATAATTTACTAAGGATTTAATTTACTAAATGTAATTTACTAATATTATAATTTTGCTATTGTATTAAATTTTACTGTCTATCATCTGCAGTGGCCTGAGGTAGAAATCTACCTCAAAGCTCCATCGCTTTTAATTTTGAATTGGAATGGGCTATTGAGTTGACAAAATATTGTTAACCAAATCAAAGAGAAACTTAAGGAGAAAGTTAGCCTAAGCACTGACTTTAGACAAAGTTTCTAAGACTCCTTTGTTCTTTTCCCTTCTGGTCATTTTCTAGTGTCTCAGAATCCTCAGACCCTTCCAACTTTACTTATGAACAGATGCAACATCACAAGTAGAGATGTTCCAGACAGCTGAGATAATGCATCAGTAAGCAGTGTGCTACCTAGAATCAGCATCAAATTTCTATGACTGAGTGATCAGAAAGTTCTAAAAGCATTTTTTAGTTTTACAAATCATGACTTCATAGTTTATAATTAAATTACCTTAATATTTTATTCTTAAATTACTCATTTATGTATAACTTAATTACATGTTTACAAATATTGAAAGAGTATTGCTATTTTTAAAGAGGTAGTGATCAAATTACATTAGAAACAACTAAGGAGTTTGCCATCTTTGATAAATTATCAATTCAATCACTTCTAGAGAATGATTTTCTCACTTTTTATAATCAATTTTTGAATATGACATTTTAAAGTGAAACCTCAGTTATTTTATCATAAATCCCTAAAAGTAATCTATTTAGTAAATATAAATTAATTTTAAAAATATTTCTAGTGCTACATAGATGACAAGAAAGGAAAGGGCTCTACAGGAAATAAAGATAACATAAAAGTTCTAACAATCAACATTTCAAAATATATATTGATAAAATTGCCTGAAACCTATATGAAAGTGATCAGGTACAACACTGTAAGATACCTCTCCACACATAGATTCTCTGTTTTTCTCTTTCCCTCCCTTTCTCTGACTCTGACATACACACACACACCCACATGCATGCACACGCATGCGCGCGTGCACACACACACACACACTTACACATTAGTCTGTTGACAACTTTAACATTTTATTTAAAAAATCCCCAATGAACTATTTTCTGGGGCCCTGTAACCCACGTTAGAACCAAGCAAAGAAATACAAAAACACAACGGAAGTTTAACATATATTATCACTGATACAATCAAATGTATAATAATACGAAAGAAAACTTTCCAAAACTGATAGAAACTCAGGTGCCTTTGAAAAACTTGAAAAGAAATGAATTCCCTTACGGGAGAGGCTTTGATTTTGAAAGCACCTGAAAATCCCTTGACACATAGAAGGCACAGGATAAATATTTATAGAAAAATATTAATGAGTAAATGAATAAATGAGCAAATGAAAAATTGAATAAAAGCATACAAAAATGAAGTTTGAAATGTTAGCCAACTATATTTCATATGTAACAATTTTTGCAAACATTATGAAAGCAAAACATCTAAACAGGTATTTCAGTATAAGAACCTAAGATAAGAGTAATATTTTTCAATGATTAGTTCATTGTATTAAATTTTACTATGGAGAAACACTTTTATTCTTCTAGATCAATTTATTGCATATTTTAGAAGTCTTTCATGAATGTTTATCTTTCCACAGTTTCTATTGTTAGGAATAATTTGATTTATCTTGCTTTAAAAATAACTTCTTAATTATGTCATTTACTTGCTGCCTTTATTATGATAACCTGTAAACACTCAGTGACAAAATATCTGATTAACATATGTATCTATGAAAGTGATTAAAGAAGAAAAGTCAATTGGTAACATGAGCAGTCTGGTATGTAGACAGTAATAAAGCTATATAGAAATGGAACAAACTTGCTCATCCTTAGAGTATAATTGCATAGTGTTATATAAAGCTACCTCTTTGAAATACAAACTAGGATAGCAATTTTTGTTTGTGCTAAAAATACAATAAAAAGCTGAGTAGACCTCAACGTTCGATGTCTATAATTTCCCCTCAGATCAAAAGTATATTCCAGGCACATGGTACAAGCCGTTGATAGATCTATCATTCTGGGTTCTGGAGGACAGTGGCCCTCTTCTCACAGCTCCACTAGGCTATACTATATTAGTCTGTTTTCCATACTGCTGTAAAGAACTGCACAAGACTGGGTAATTTATAAAGAAAATAGCTTTAATTGACTCAGTTTAGCATGGCTTAGGAGGCCTCAGGAAACTTAAAATCATGGTGGAAGGTGAAGGAGAAGCAAGGCACCAGGAAGAAATGCCAAGCAAAGGGAGAAGAGCTCATTATAAAACCACCAGATCTCGTGAGAACTCACTCACTATCATAAGAACAGCATGGGGGAACCACCCTTCTGATTCAATTACCTCCACATGGTCTCTCCCTTGACACATGAGGATTATGAGTATTGTGGGGATTACAATTCAAGATGAGATTTTGTGTGGGAACACAGCAAAATCACATCAGGCCGCACTGGTGAAACATGAGAGAAAGGAGGAATAATTCAAGGGAATTAAATAACCTGGATCACTTCCTGCCAGGTCACTTAAACACTTAAAAACAGTTTTTTGAATGCAACTTCCTCACCTTGTCTAGGAGTAGCTAAGGCCACCCATTGTTACTAAACTAAGGGTACTCTGTTACCACTTCCCAATTTTCTAAAAGCCTACCCATTCACCTGTACACAGCCAATTTATCCACTCACCACAAATTACCTATCTTGAGTGTTCATACTTCTGCTGGAAGTCTGACTGACAAGATAACACTTTCATATGTGTTCTTATACGTGGAAGTCAGCAGATGACTTTCAAGGCCTTATACTACAATTAAGGAACTTTAATCATACTAGCAGAAATTTTATGAAATATTCAGTGCGTGCTCTTCGATTAGTTTCCAACTTTCAATATAGTCATGAATACATATATTACATAATTCCTCTTTAAAGATTAAATGGTGATCAATCAATAGTAGTTCAATTGATATGGTTGTTATTCATAAAAATGGAGCTGCCTTTCTATATATACTAGTTTTCTTTAAAGCACAACTTAAACATTCCATTTGGGTTTCTTCATGAGTGACAATTTCTATTTAAGAGACAAACTAGATTAGTAATCTGATACTACATAAAAACTTATCTTAAATTTAATTCCTTAAAACGACAACAAGAATTTAATATTTGCTTATGAATTTGCAATTTAAGATGTTTAGTGGTGTGGTTGTTCCTTTTGGTTTTTTTTTTTTTTTTTTTTTTGAGATGGAGTTTCGCTCTTGTTATGCAGGCTGGAGTGCAATGGCGCGATCTCGGCTCACCGCAACCTCCGCCTCCTGGGTTCAGCCAATTCTCCTGCCTCAGCCTCCTGAGTAGCTAGAATTACAGGCACATGCCACCATGCCCAGAAAATTTTTTGTATTTTTAGTAGAGATGGGGTTTCACCATGTTGACCAGGATGGTCTCGATCTCCTGACCTCGTGATCCACCCGCCTCAGCCTCCCAAAGTGCTGGGATTACAGGCTTGATAGTGTGGTTGTTCTAAAGCTGGACTGGCCTGAGCTCACTCATGGTCCTGTATTTATTTGATTGGAACTTTTCTGGGACTACACAGTCTAAAATGTCAACCATATTTCAAGAATGTTGATTCTGGCTGCCAGTTGACCCTCCCTCTATCTTCCTCTCTACATGAAATGTCTAATCATTTTCCCTTTGTGAGAAACTACTCTGAAATATATGATTATGACTTACTGATATTTCCCCTTTCTTAAAGATTTTAATTACTAGTTACAGATATATGAATATTACTACTACAGAAATGCACTTATTGGGAAATTTTGGGGATGTGCTATTTGTATTTTACATAAATTAGATCTTTTCTGTTCATCTACATATTCAAGATCATGGAGTATGATATAAAGTGATAAGAATGACCAGAAGAAATGGAAATATTTTGTAGTAATTTTAAAAATGGAAACCTAAATATAAAACATTATTTAACCTACAGGATGTATAGAGAAAAGTTTCTATTTTATTTCATGTTACTGTAAATTCATATTATAACAACAAAAATAATAATTTTGTTAGGAATTTCCTGTATTAATCTAAACAACAATTAGGTGAGTACTAATATATTAAAATTCTAAAAGTTTGAAAAATTTGGGTCCACTGTATTCCATCATTGGCTGAATACTCAACTACAAAGATATAAAAGTAAGCCCAACGGGTCAGGTATAAGAAGAAAGGCAAATATAGCCAAATAATTCAGCCACAGCTCTGCCCACATACTACATGAGAAATAGGTCTCACAGACTTAGCAAAGGCAAGTTATTAAACAAACAGGAAACAATAGTTTTCAGGGAGAAAAAATTAGTAGAATCCAGAATTTCTACCACAAAATATTAGATATGTCCAGTGCTCAACCTGAAATTTTTAAATGTACAAAGAAAAAATAAAGTGCGACCCATGTTCGGGAAAATATCACATTAAATACAATTGCCTCTGAGTTTCCGCATGGGTTGGATTCAGCAGATAATGACTGTGAAGCCACTATTATAAATATATTAAAAAGCCAAAGAAACCATGCTTAAATAATTAAAATTTGATAACAATAAATTTACACAGAGGAATTCTCAATAGGGAGAGGAAAACTATGAAAAGCACTAAATAGAATTTCCAGAGTTGAAGAAAAAAAATAATTAAAACTAGAAGTTTACTATACATGCACAACAATAGACTTGAGGTACCAGACTAAAGAATTGTTCAATTTAAAATAAGTTATTTGATCTGAAGAATAAAGAGAGAAACTCAGTGAAAAATTAACTGAGTCTCACAGATCTATGAGACCATTTTGAGCGTACCTACATATGTTTAATGATGATCCCAGGAGACAAGAGAGATAGAGAGGGAAGAAAAGTTACTGGAAGATGTAACCATCAAAACTTTGCCATTTGATGAAAACCATTGATCTACAGATTCAAAAAAAAAAATTCAAACCTCAAGTAGGAAACATAGAAAGAGATGCATAACTAAACCATTATAGTCAAGTTATTGAGAGTCAAAGCCAAAGACAAAACATTGAAAGCAGAAAGAGAATAGCAGCTCATTACAGGCTAGGGAAGGAGGCTGGGGGAAGGGAGCATTATGTTTAACAGCTGACATTTCTGTGAAGCAGCATGGCCAGAGGCAGTGTTGTACCATAAATAACATATTCAAAATAATCTGTTAACCTATAATCAATATTCAGATAAATTTTTCTTCAAAAAGGAAGGTGAAATAAAGTCATTTTTCATATTCACAAGCAGTATATGAGTATTTCAATTTCTTTATATTTTCACCAAATATCACCGGTGGGTTATAAAAAATGATACAACCAATCTGAGAAAGTAGTACATCCTTAAAAATTAAACATAACCCTACCCTATACCAACAATTCTACTTCTAGAATTCTACCCATGAGAAATAAAAACATACATTCACCAAAATATATGTATGCAAATGTTTATAACAGTATTCTTCAAAATAGCCCCAAACTGGAAATAATCCATGCATCCATCAGCTTGTAAGTCCATAAACAAAATATTGCAATATCCCTACAGTAGAATATGGTATTAGTCAATATTAAAAACGAACAAAGTGCATGTCATAATATGGAAGAACCTCAAAAATGTAATGTACAACAGATGAAAACAGATACAAATGACCAAATTATAGAATTTTACTTAAATGAAATGTTCAGCAAAAGCAAATTTTTAGAGAAAGAAAGTAGATTACTACTTGGCTAGAGCAGGGAGTAACTGAAAACAGGGATAATGGAACTTTTTGCACTTATGGATATGTTCTAAAACTAGATTGTGGGGGGATGACTGTAGAATTCTATAAATTTACAAAATTATATATATATATTAAGAATTTATAAAAATAAATTGTACACTTAAAATGGATGAATTTATAGTAAATAAATTTTATAAAATTTATTACAGATATTATTAATTAGAAAGGAAGTTATATTAACCTTTTAAAAAGAAACTATAATATTGCTATGATATAAAACTATAATATTTGGGAATATATTCATTTACTTCACATGGACAGTCATGACTGTTTTTGTTTTTGTTTTTGAGACGGAGTTTTGCTCCTTACCCAGGCTGGAGTGCAATGGCGCGATCTCGGCTCACTGCAACCTCCGCCTCCTGGGTTCAGGCAATTCTCCTGCCTCAGCCTCCTGAATAGCTGGGATTACAGGCACACGCCACCGTGCCCAGCTAATTTTTTGTAGTTTTTAGTAGAGACGGGGTTTCACCATGTTGACCAGGATGGTCTTGATCTGCCGACCTCGTGATCCACCCGTCTCGGTCTCCCAAAGTGCTGGGACTACAGGCTTGAGCCACCACACCCGGCCCATGACTGGTTTTTGACGATGACACCCTCAACAAATCTTATGTGACCAAATATTTCTCTATATCACTATAGCAGAGAGCTTGGAAATAGAAAAGTTTCACAAGCTGTAATGAAATCTGAAAGAAAGATGTATTCTGTAATTCAACCTACTAGGATAATTGTAGATAAGCTATTATTAAATATTCTTATATTTTGAATAAACCTAAATGGTCATTACTAGAAATTCAGTACTATATATGTGTATGTTATTTTCAACTCAAGAATTTACAGATAAATAAGATAATTTTATTTGGATATTTATAATAATTTACATCAAAAAGGCAATAGATTATTCAGTGAGTCAAAAATGAAACTAATTAAAAGGAGTATGTGATTTCATATCCATTCACACAATTTATAAAGGGGGACAAAGCAGGAAATAACTGTTTTTCTAACATAGCAGTCTTAAAACAGAATAATGAGAGCACAAGTACACGTATTTTTTTTTTACTTTAAATGATATTTTAGAGTATATTTGTCTATGCTAGCAATTGCCAGATTTCTCAGTGCCTCCTTATCATGGAACAGAACAAATGGAAAAACAGTAACTTAGGCTATACTCTCATTCAAAAATAAGTACCATTCAATCAGGGCTACATCTGTATACAAACAAAGAAATTTCAAATAAAATAATTTAAAATATGGTCTCCTTTCTAGAATGGCTTCTGGCTTGGTTTGAATTGCTGAATGAAGAATTATAGCTCCTAACTTTCCCAGCATATGTAGAATTGACTTTTTGGTGCATATTTAAATTTGCAAGCTTTCAAATTGGGGCTCATAAATAAGAAAACTATGGTCAAAATAAGAAACATGACACAGTCCTTACTTTCCTCATTCTTTCTTTTGTTCTAAACTCAAGGAATTTCAAGCAAAAGGTTCTCAGGATTACAGTTTTCTCTAAAGCAATTATGGTAGAGCTGATAAAACTAGGCCGTTCTTCAAATCATCTTAGATACATGGCATCTCAGGAGCCTCTGCTTGCTCCTCAAAGGGAGTGGGAACAAAACAAATACACGAAAAATTAGTAAACAGAGTCAAACACCTGTGAGAATTCTCAGAGTGTCCAAAATAATCCCTAATCAATAATAGCTGTGGTTTAACACAAATACATCTTGTGTTGTGCTACTTCTAGTAGGAACAAAAAGTATTTATAGATTCACTATTTTTCCCCTCAATTCTTTTCAGAATACAAAACAGACTAAGGAAAATGATTTTTAAATCATCTTCTCTTTTAATATTGAGACTTTTTTGTCTTTCGTTGAATAAAACCTTGTGTTAAGTACTTACCTGGACCAATAATTCTGTCTTATATTTCTTCAACAAAAGAAATTTAATATAAAATACCTTATGGCATGACTTGGCCAACATTTCAGTAAGACTCTCTATATAAATAAAATATATCCATGCAGATCATAAACGGTATGTGGCATATCTGAGAAAGTGATAATATTTTAGAGTTATATTATCACATAATATTCATCTCCATAGAACAAATAACTTTAAAGAGAACAGGATAACAGAGCATTTAAAAGCTAAATGATTCATGTCTTGATCAATTAGGTGTGGATGTAAAAACAAATAAAAGCATCTCACATGTTAATATAAATAGTGTTATGGACTGAATGTCTGTGTCCTCTCAAAATTCATATATTAAAATACTCCCAATATGATGGTTTGGGGAGATGATTAGGTCATGAACATGGAACCCTCACGAATGGAATTTGTGCCCTAATAGGAAGAAACATGAGAGAACTTTTTCATTAGGAGGCAGGAGGATACAACGCGAAGGCCATTTTCAGACTAGAAAGAAGACCTCACCTGATAACAAATCTACAGGTGCCTCCATCTTGAACTTCCCAGGCTCTAAAACAGAGAGAAATATTTGTTCGTTATTTAAGCCACCCAGTTTGTGATATTTTATTATAGCATCTCCAGCTAAGACAAATAGTGATATCCTTAATCTGTATAGAATAAAAATCTAGTTTGACGGAAATATATAGTAAATCAAATATGGGGATACATATTTATTTGTTCAACAATTACTTTTTCTACTAAGTACCTGCAACTGCTCAAAAGCTTAGGAATAGAATTCTGGTGAAAGAGAGAAAAAATGTCAGCCATTAAGGGAGTGAAGTCAAAAAGGAAATAGGAATAAAGCCTAATACACGTCAGAAAGCAGAATGCAAGGTACTATGAAAATCACAGAGCACTTCCTAATATGGTAGATGAGGTGATGAAAGACTTTCTAGAGGAAGTTACATTTAGGTTAAGACCTGATGATATGTAGAAATTTGCCAAGAAAATTTATGACAGAGATGGAATGAACAGGATGAGTATTCACTAGATAGTATAAAATCATCTCAGAAAGTCCAGAAAAGAAGTTTCTTGATACATAAAATTAAGTCTGTTACTGGTGTCCTAAAGATATGACAAGAGGCAAACATGGGGCAGGTAGAAAATGTTCCTGAAATATCTGTTGGAAAATTTTGACTTCATATTGAGGAAAATGGAAAGTTAGTGATGAAATTTAAGCAAAACAATGACAAGAACATATCTCGGTTTTCTTTCAGAAAGATCATTCTGAACACACTGAATAACGAATTCTGGCCATCATTTCAATACTCCTACTTAGCCTTGACTTAACCATGACAATGTCTTCCTAACTTGTCTTCCCATATCAATTCTTGACCTTACAATATATTTTTCATACAGAAGCTGATCATGAGACATCAAATCTGTTTGTCCTATGTCATTTCTCTGCCTAAAATTCTCCAAGGTCTTTGCATCTCAATATTATTAAAATCTAAAGCTTTTTTCAAATCCCTATTAGTTCAGAAACAATCTGCTTCTCAGTTAACTCTTTGATGTTATGTCTTTCCTGCCTCTCTCTGGCTCATTTCCCTTTAACTATACTAGTTGCCTTGCTGGGTTTTTTTTCTTCTTTTTTTTTTTAATCACAACTCTATCATCTAGACCTTTGCACTTGCATTCCATACCTTATACCTCCTGCCTTCCCTTCCACATATAATTATTCCTACATGTAAGTCAATTTTCTGCTCAAATGTTATCTTTTGCAGGCCTTTTCTGAACACGATCTGTAAAATATTATTCCAACCATTCATTATTTCCTGTCCCACATTTTAAAGCATTTATTGTCACCTAAAATAATAGACCTACCAATTCATCAGAATGTGAGTTCCAGAAAAAGAAAAGTATATTTTCACTGTTAAATCAATGTCACTTAGATGTGTTTCTGGCCCATTTTAAGTGCTTAATTATTATTTATGAATCAAATTAATGTTGAATAAACTTGTCTGCTAAATTATTTGCACCTTTCTTTTTTCACTTTACTCATTAAAATAATCCAATTCTAAATGCAACTAACTCATCACACCCTCTGCAGCTACCACAAGGAGCTGGATTATGTCAAATCAAGTTTCCCAACAGAATTATTTAATTATTCTAGACATTCAAAGCACCTAACCAGAAATGTGCCTTTCTGATATATTCACTCTTTGTTTCATTTCAATTGTATGCATAATTATGCACAACGTCTCCAAATCCCAAATTCTTTAATATCAGCTTCTGGCCAGTCCTCCTACTTTCATTTAGAAAACATAAACTTCACTTAAAGATGTTTCATCTTCTGACTATTCATCCACATCTTAAATCAGTCTACAATCTTGTCCTCCCATTACAATATAGAAGCTCCTTTCACTCTTAAATAATCTGAAATTTTCCACCAGTGTTTTAAGTTTCTTTGCTTCCTGTCTTATTAAAAACCAACTAGAATTTATGCCATTTCATTTCTTCACTTGGATGTTCAACCATTCTTTCTCAAGTAAATCATTCTTGATAATTTTTTTTTCCATTAAAACCAAGCCCAGAATCTCTCTCACTCAATTCTTCAAATACCTCTATATAAAGTCTCAAACTCTCCTTTCCACCACACCCTACTTCAAACATTGTTTTTCCCCATTTGTCTCAACCCATTTAATCCTGACACCTGGTCTTATCATTTAACATTCTTTGAAGGAAACAATAAGTTAGTTTTCTAAATCTATTTTTCAACTTATTATATTTGATATTTTAGCAACACTTGACACTATTAATTGCTCCAATTAAGAAACTGTCAATTCAGTTGGCTCCTCTAACACGTCCTTTTTCTATATATTTTCTCTCACACTCTCCTTGTTCTTCTTAGTCTACTTTTCAGACCCATTATTTCTTTTATCACCCTAATGAGCTCTTTTGAACATCATATTTATCTTCTCCTCACTATTGGTTGCAAGAACTAATAGTTAAACTAACCATAAATCACCAAACATTTTAGGAAAACTGAAACCAATAATGAAAGATAAAAAACTCAAAATAAGAACTAATGCCTTAGGTTAAATGTTAACAAAGCAAGTAGAAAATTACTAATATTATATTAATAATGATTTTTAAAACTTATAGATATTACATAAAAGACATCTGTAATACCTAAAAATTTGACTGAAATATAAATATTAAAACATAAGTGGGATTAATAAAAAAGCAACAAACTATAAAAGCAGGTTAGAGTATGTGGATGAATATATATTTCCCAAGTACAGATCTAAACTTTATGGAGTTTTAAAGAATAAAAAAATGTTGAGACATGAAGTTGATCGTGTAGTTTTAAATATATATGCAATGGGAATTAAATTGTAAGAGAGAAAATGATAGAAGTGGGAAAAATGTAAGGTGGAAAGAGATAGAGATTAGATGAATAAATAAATAGAATAAAAATTGTTCAGAACTGTAGAATAGTATCAGTCTTCCTATTAAAATGTCCACTTCAGTATTAACTTACATTGGTTCATGCTATGGTGAAATTTCGTAACACAAAAAACAATAAGGAGGTCCTAAAATCTTCCAAAAACTAAACAAGCAAACAAATAATTTTAGCTAACTCAGCTTTTAAAAGGCCATAAAGATAGGAAAAACACAGAATGACAGTTAAGAAGCTAGGAGTTGATACACAAGGGTATATTGGGTGCTGCTGAGGTTTAAGATACAAATAATGAATGGTCAACTAGCATTCCTACATTTTTTTAAGAGGAGGGAATTCTACAGTACCCAAGGGACTTCAGTCCTTTCCACTGTTACTAGCACTTTCTGTTACGTGTTAAGTAACAACACAGGTCACACTTCATAACCATATTTCTGGATTTACATAAAAAATTAAAATTACATTCACTATGACTTTTTCTTGTGGAAAAGGTTAAACAGTTCTTAACAGTTTTTCTTCATCCAAAGAAATGTGATTTCGATTTCTAAAGGGCAAGTGATAGCTATATACAAATTTTAATGCAACTATTTAAAAGTAAACATGGTTACATTTTGAGGGGACTCAAAAATTTTATGGGACAATTGAATTCAAAGAAAAACTTTATTTCTCAATATAAGTTCCATCATGTTCAAGGCACTTTTCTAAGCAATGATATCAGCTATTCAGTCCATCTTTAAAGAACTGAGACTCCTGGGAATTTAATGCATGTTAATGCATCTTTTTTATATTATTAACTGAACGAAAATGAGTGTCCTTATAGATTTTTTATTATTACAAAGCAATAAGAAACATGAAAAGTCAAATCAAGACTGTAAGATGAATGCCTAATGATTTCCCATTGAAACTTTTTCCAAATTATTTTTGTTTGATAAGAAGAATGAGCAGGACATTGTTGTGCTGGAGAAGGACTCTCTACTGAAGCTTTTTCAGGTGTTTTTCTTCTGAAGCTTTAGCATTCTCAAAATATTCTCATTATTAGCAGATGCTATTGTTTTTTGGTCCTCTAGAAAGTTAACAAGTAAATTTCCTTGAGCATTCCCAAAACTGTTCCCACCACCTTTGCTGATGACCAGCCTACTTTTGCTTATGACTGGACCACTACCACTTTCATCTCTTTACAGCCATTGGTTTGGCTGTGCTTTGTCTTTAAGATTATACTGGTAAAGCCATGTTTCATATGCTGCTAAAATTCTTCAAAGATGCTTTAGGATCTTGATCCTACATGTTTAAAATTTCCATTGAAAACTCGGCTCTTATACGTAGCTGATCTGGGTGCAACAATTTTGGCACCTATCAAGTGAAAAGTTTGCTCAACTTTGATTTTTCAGTCAGAAAGATGTAAGCTGAACCAATTGAGATATCTATAATGTTGGCTATTGGTTCTGCTCTTAATCATAATAATAGGCTTGCCAATTAGGGCCAAACATGATTTTTTTTCCTTGAAAATTGATTTAACTTGTATGCCACTGCAAGATTCATCTTCAATGTTGTTTCATCACTTAAAATGAATTATTCATTTGCAAACTGATAATTCCTTTGTGTCATTATCCCCATAAACTTTTCGTAGAGCATCAGCAATTACGTCATTCTTCTACCCAAGCTTCACCATAAATTTGAAGTTTGTTCTTACCTCAGTTTTAGCACAATTCTAGTTGCTCTAATAGAGGCTCCTTTCAAACTGATGTCTCATTCTTCTCGGTGCCTTCAACTGGATGCTGTTTAGACGTTGTGAAAAGCTAGCATATATGTATTTTTCTCCAAAAAGTTGAAATTTATGCATAGTTTTTATCGTAATATACATTTCCATAAACTTTTTGTAAACTCTTGATTTCCACAACTGACAAACACAAATTCTAAATCAATATGAATGATTAAACATATAAAGTAGATGCAATATAATGAACCTTTCATGGCATCCAAAACCAAGGCTGCTCTTCAGAGAAATACACGAAAATTAAACCATGAAGAAATATCAGTAATTATTCTAAGTAAAGTTCACAGTAAGACTTTGGAAATATAAGGCCTAAAATTTACTATGAGAAAAAAT